TTACAGAAATACATTAGTACTCTTCTTTGTCATTCACACTGTAAAACTGATTTCCATATCCAAATGGTAACCAAACAAATAGTCAGGAAACTGGTTAAAGCTGGTATTTGAAGGAAAAAAGAAAAAAAAAAAGCTTTAAGCTTGACCTGGACTTTTTAGAGAAATAATATTCTTGGGAAAAGGTAATTAGCTTCAATTCTGTAGTATTTGTCAGTTACCATATAGTGGATGTGGGTTTCAAGGTTCTTCCATGATAACTTTGTCTAATTATATGCCACCATTAAGCAGTAGTTGGAAGCAAAATAAATATGAGGTGTTGAACCTTTTAAAAAGGAGGGCAGAATGCATACTGGGAGCATATAGACCACGAACTACATGGTTATATGTTGACAGAGCCTTAGGAAATTCAAGAAGCATAATTCTTCCCTATGAGGCTAATATTGCTTTTGTTGCATTGGAAATGTCATCACACCAAAAATCCACATGGAACTGGTTCTTCAGACACTGAGGAAGGATGTGGTGCTGGCAGATACAGTAACTGTGTGTGGGTGAAATAAGGCCGACTCAGGGAAGAACTAAAGTGGTAGTTAACTCTGGAAAGGGCTGTGTGCTACAGAAGTTCTTGAAGCCACTCAAGTTTAAAGCACCTAATTTCATACCATTATACAATGGTTTGGGTTGGAAGGAACCTTCAAAGGTCCAACCCCCCTGCAATGGGCAGAGACATCTTTTCCTTAGATCTGGTCGCTCAAAGCCCCATCCCACCTGACCTTGAACACTTCCAGGGATGGAGTATCTACAACTTCTCTGAGTAACCCGTTTCAGTGTCTCACCATCCTCATTGTAAAAAATGTCTTCCTTATATCTAACCTAAATCTACCCTCTTTCAGTTTAAAACCTTGTTCTGTCACTACAAGCCCTGGTAAAAAGTCTCTATCCATCTTTCTTACAGGCCCCCTTTAAGTACTGAAAGGCTGCAGTAAGGTCTCCCAGAGCCTTCTCTTCTCCAGGCTGAACAACGCCAACTCTCAGCCTTTGGGAACACCATAGGAGAGGTGTTCCATCCCTCTGATCATTTTTGTGGCTCTCCTGGGGACCTAATCCAACAGGTCTGTGTCTTTCTTATGCTGGGGTGTCTGGAGATAGACACAGCACTGCACGTGGGTTCTCACCAGGACAGAGTAGAGGAGCAGAATCACCTCCCTTGACCTGCTTGCCACGCTGCTTCTGATGCAGCCCAAGGATACGGTTGATGTAGGAGTTGGAGTTTGGAGACTCTTTTCAGGTTCTTTCTCCAGTCAATGATTAACAGTCAATGAAAAGAGAGTGAAAGAGGCTTCTTTTGGGAGTGACTTGGAACAGGGGCATATCCCAAAGTTATATGCTGTACCTTCAAATATTTATAGTCTGAGTAAGTGGCATTTTGAGTGCTGGCTAGTGACTGATCAACCCTGTCATGTCCTTGGTAGGGAAAAAAAGCTGCTAAACATCAGGTTCTCAGTGAATCGTCAGAAGCCTTGTGGGATGGGAGTAGTTTAATAGGATACTGTCAAATGAGTGACCAGTCACCTCACTGGTGTGTCCTGGGGAAGGGTCATACAGGTTACTGGTAGTTTTATTTGGGTGGTGGGGATGGGCTATGATATATTTAAATATGGCTAGTTTCATGCATTTTGTATGCTGTTGTCCAAGTACCATAGTTACCTTCGCATCTCTTGGAAGACAGAAAAAACAGTATGTTCTGCACCATGTTTTCTGCACTAAAAAAATGAGTTGCCTAGTTTAAATTCTCTTCCTTCCCAGTCTAGTGTGTCACAATTAATGTTTCAAAGTGTACATGCTGTATGGAGATCTAGGGACAGGCTGTATCAAAGTAAAAGTTGTCTTCAGATGCTGGCCCAGCAAACAGAAATCCTTTGGAACTGGTGGAAATAGCCAGAATGTGGCTCATTTCTGTATGCTTCATCCTTAGATTGTGTTCTGTAGCCATCACTTCTGCTGCATAGAAAATGTATTACCACACCAAATTCAGAATCTGTACTATATTGTCACCTTAGCCTTCCCTTGTTCTGTATAAATATGGGGACCATGCCCGTTCTCCTGTCTTTCCCTTCTTTTTGCGGACTTACAAACGTGGTAAAACCACATTTGGGATTTTACATTCCCCTAACCAGCTGAAACTTCCTGGAAAGGGCGCAGATGGGGCCATGCATTTCTGCAGGTGCTTTAGATCTTCATCTCTTACAACTTTGCTTCTTTGTTTCCCAAATCCTGACTTCTTGTCTTGCATGCTCAGCTGTGTGGTGCTCTGGACATATGGTCAAAATGTGTGACTTTTATTACTCAGCTAAGAGAAGGCTGTTGTCCAGTTTTTATTGATTAGGCACCTTTAGCTTTTATACTAGTCCTTTTATTGTCTATCTTCATTCTCTCCTAGCTTTTTCCACATTCCTTTTTCCACTTTTGTATTTCTAACTTATTTTTTCACGAGAAAATTGCACATGTCTCAATGTGCTTCCCAATACTTTCCTCAGAAGCTTTTGTTGGCCTACCCCAAGGGCTTGGATGCTCCCAGTCCTGTGGCAGAGACTGGTATAAAAATGGGTTATATAGTTTTGTCTGTCGTCACTCTTAAGGCTGGCTTTCTGTTCACTTGAGAAGGGGAATGATGCAGTTGTCTCTGATAGTTGAAGCACTAGGATAACTCATAGATGTAGAATAAAGCATTTATCTTCCAGAAAGCTGTGTCATTAGAGATGGAAATGTAATCCCGTAGGTAGCTGGCTCCTATAAGAAGAGAACCTGGCCTGGTACTGCCATTGGCCACAGTCAGGTCTCCAGAATGCACTGTATGTAGTTGGATGCAAAGGCAGCTGGTGATGGGTATCCACAAGGGCATGACTACCCAGTGACTCCCAGTGACTCCTGTGACTACCCAGTGACTCCTCACAGTACTGCTGGCTTGGGCAGTACAGATGCCTTCCTTGCACCTTCCTGGCAGTTGTGCTGGCCCAGATGTTTAGGGGATTTATTCTGTGTTGGATTAGGTATCTGTGCTACTCTTTTTGTTGGGTTAATTTTAAGCAGGATCAGTTGCCTGAGCTGATTCGCTGGCTTGCCCCAGTTTAATGATATGATGAGGGTGGTTAAGATGGTGGTTCTCAAGTTCTTGTTGTTGAATATGGTTTTGCTGACAAAATTTCTGTTTAACCACAGCCAAAGTGGTGTCTGATATAAGAAGAGAAATTTAGAGATTGCACCATTTTTCTCATCGACACTTCAGTGTGATGGGGAGAGAGATAAGTAGAATGTGGGGTGATCTGTAAACACAAGATTACAAGGCAGGTTGGTGGTGTGCTCATCCTTTTTGTATTCTCTTGATAAAAGTGAATCAGGTGCCTCACCTAATACGAGCTTGAAGAGAAAGTGTGAACTTCAAAGGAATATTTGAATAGGTTTCTAGAAAGCCTGTGAACAAAAACGTAATGGCAGTCTGTGGCTGGTAATGTGAGTAAGAGCAGACCCACGTTCCTCTTGGAGAGAAACATTTCTCTATCACCCTTCCCTTCCCCCCCTCACTGGTTTGGTTTCTGTGAGGATGTCAGATACTGTGTCCCTCCTTGACTTGTGGTTTAGAGAATTAAAATTTCTATGTGAGATGTTTCTCTTGTCTTTGCAACAATGGCTTCCTTATTACCTTGTTTCTGTCAAACGATTTTGAGTGGCAGTAGGTAAGTTATTCTCACTTATCTTTTAATTGAAGTTGTAATAGGCTTCTACTAAAGTATCTTCACCTATATGGTATATTTTAACTGTATTTGTTCTGGAGGAATACAGAACCCATTGGGTAAAATGTGCGTCTTCTAAAAACTGGAGAGGATTGCTGAGACTGTAATCAAAGCTCCTATGAAATTTTGTTCACTGTTTTCTAAGTGTGGTACGAAACAGGTGCTTGAAATAAGGTTGGATTTTTCAGACACCATCCAAAGCCAGTCCATGAAAAATCTTCTTTCCCCTTTAATAACTCATTAGTAATTTATGTTTCTTTCCCTGCTTAAAAACCTGTATTGGAGTCACAATATGAAGGTTTTTCTATAGTTTTATTCCAGTTATCAGCTGTTGTTTTACTGGGGCTAACATGAGCCTGTAATTCAGTATCTTGGTATTGTTTGAAATGAAAACAAATATTTCAATTTTATGTGGTCTGAGTACATGGGCTTTTTTTTTTTTTCTTTCTTAAGGTGTACAAACAAAAATATTTTGGGTTTAGATTTAACATGTGTTTCAAATTTAGTGGAATTCCTTTCTTAATCTACATTTTATTTAAAGCCTAGCACACTGTCCCCCTCCTGGTCCCTGCACACCAGGACAGAACATATTCTCTCGTAGGAAACTACTTATTTGCAGTCGCCGTATCTGATTTTTATTTTTGCCTGGGACGCTGGAGGATTAGAGCAGATTATAGTGTAGGGATAATGTCTGACTCCTTGTGTTCCATTTAGTCATAAATAAACCCCTGAAAAATCTCAATGTTGCTATGGTGATGTTAGTAAAAGCCTGGGATATGAAGTAAGTGAGCCGCTTAGAAGCATAATGTCACTTACAGTAATGAGCACGTCGTCGTCAGAACAGTGATGGGTTTACCTGATGCTCTGTCACTTTGATAGCCCACGCCAGATTCTGAAAGCAATTCATATGAATATGTTTCGTTCAGTAACTTGCAACTACTGACCTTTTAGGAAATGAAAATGTGTGTTTTGTCTGTTTACTTTCCAGCTTTAATGTGTTGAAGTATCAGAGAAACAGGCAAAAAATTCCAGTCTTTGTATGCTGCCTTTCACGTGATGGTCTGGTTGAATTAAAACAACAACAAAATTAGTTCACGGCAATTTTGTTTAAAATTGTGTAAACACACACTTTTCTTCTGAAAGTATGGAAATAAGAAGTAAGATTGCATTAAAATGTGCTTTGTGTTTGTTTGTTTGTGTTTTTTTTTTTAGTCTTTATAACCTGGCTTCACTGGAACTTAGAGAAAATTTGCTGACATATTTACCCGAGTAAGTGATATTTCATGTGTTTGATTATATTAACATAAAGTGTTCTTATCTTGAAATCTGCTAACATATAAAACTGAATGACAGCTAGAAAAAATATTCAGTGCTGATTGACAACTTGTATGAAATAGAGCTTTGTTTTACCAAAACCTAGTTACATCCATTACTTCTAGTTGTACTTGGTTAGTAGCAGGAGCCTGCAGTCTGTGTTGATTAGTTTTGCTCTATAAAAATATTTTGTATAAAATACAGCAGTGCCAAACATTTCACCCTGCACACATTGAACAAGCACATCAGCTGTGGGAGTGGTGGTTTGGGTTGTTCTCGTGCTGAAATTTCGTAACTGTGAAAGTAGGGTAATAGGATCTCAGAGATTTGCACTGTAGACCTTCATAGCATTTAAATAAGCATTTGTGTTCAGGGCTAAGTAACCAAAAGCTTGCAAAACGTGGAGATCAAAGCCCTGGTGACAAACTAGGCCTTCTGATTTCTGAAGTCTGACTCCATCCACTGTGATTTTGGGGCTAAAACAGTTGTCTAGATGCCTCTGTGCTGTCTGTATTGTGGCAGAGGAGTCGGTTAATTTGGTATCCTATTAATTTTGGAGATCCTTTTTGGCTGCCTGGAAGAAGCCTCTTCTTTCTCTAGGGAAGGAGTTTCCTTCCTTCACTACCTGGCTGCTTCTTGCAAGAATTTTGGTGACCTCTATTCTGCTTGTTTAGATAATCTAATAGATACTGTAATCAATTTAACCTATTTTAATCAGAATCTGTTCCCCAGTTGCTTTGGGGTCCTTTTTTTCCTGTCAGTCTACCCAGTACCTTGGTTGTGGCTGTTTATAGCTGTGAGCCACAAGGCACTTTAAATGTCAGTGGTCAGAAGATATGAATTGCTAGCTAGGTTGTGCCATGTGGTGTCAGAATGAGGCTATCACAAATCTTGACAATTTTATTGCTCCTGGAAAATGCTGATTGTCAGTAATGTAGCTGACGAGTCTTGCTGGCTTTTGTGGTACTGTGGCTTTGGGAAGGTAAGCAAGAGCTGTACAACAGACTGCTTTTCAAGTAGGATGGCCCTGTGTGTCTGTTCATGTTCAAAGAACTTTTTTTACACCCTTTTGGGCTTCCTTCTGTTTGCATCCTGAAATCCAACCTGAAATGCTTCAGAAATGGATAGATGGTGTTGAGAAGATAAATCATGGTTTTATTAAGTCTTGAGTCACACTGTTATGTGTGATCACTATGGGGAATTTCTACCCATTGCATAACTGTAAATTCCCCCTAAAAATAAATCTAACCAACTATAGTAAACTATGTGGCATTGTTCACCTTGAAGGAACTGATGGGTAAAATAAAGAATAATGATTTGTTTGCCTATACTAACTTTTAAGTTTCAAGGGCATACAGTTGTACTGACAAACCAAATTATTTTTTCAGTAGACTATTACTGCACATAGTCTATGCCCAGTAAAATAACTGTCTGTCTACAATACATTGTAATTTGAAATATGAGTTTCAGTAAAATGAGCTCATTCAAATACATGGGGTTTCTGTTGGTTTAGTCTGATGTGGTTTTGTTTTGACTTATCTCATCTCACAGATCACTTGCCCAGCTGCAGCGACTAGAAGAACTTGATTTAGGAAACAATGAACTTTATCACTTGGTAAGAAGACATGCCACTGAAAGTGCATGTTCATCTTGTTTTATGCATTATTTAGATTAAATAGGTTGTAGAATGTCCAAAATTGAAGAAAGAAAAATGTGTGGAGGGAGTGTCTTTTTATACATACAGATGAATTTTGGCAGTGAGTTGTTGCTTTCCGTATCTGCTTAGTCTTGTTCAGTAAAATATTACTTTACCCAAAAAACTGCAGCTGATCTCTAGAAAATGAGAGCACTGCACAGGCTTTTTCTACAAAAAGAAGAAGTGGAACGGCACAAACTCTTGTCTGTGCTTGCAGTTACAGTGAACACATGGGCTTCTGGAGGGAACTGGACGGGCTGAGCACAGATGAAAGCTCAGCTCTTTCCAGGGAGTAGGAATCTTTGGGAAAGGGCTGAGGCAAAGTGTTGAGGGTTGCAGTGTCTGACATCGTGGCAGATAGATCTACCAAAAGATATCTGTCATTTCCCTTAAGCTGACTCAATTAAATGTTGCATTTGCAGTAGATTAAGAGCATGCATGTGATTTGTTAGTGCATGTCAGGTAAAGTATGGTAGCTTGTTAAGCTGTAACAATTAATTCATATGATTAAGTTCCCAAATGCTTACGTTCACCCTTGCTGCGTTTAACTGTGGTACCTCTAAATAGTGCCTAGAGTAAGGATTGGTTTCCTTGGACTGTAATTACAGGGTGGCCATTTGGTTTTCACTTGAAGCTCCTATGCTACTTAACATTATTATTTTTTTTATGTTATAGCCAGAAACAATTGGTGCACTTTTCAATCTTAAAGACCTTTGGTTGGATGGAAACCAATTAGCCGAAATACCTCAGGTAAAGATGAGCTCCACTGGTACTGTTTTCAAGATGCTTTTAAAATAAAACCTTGTTTTTCATACCTAAAGGGAAGTGATTTAAAATTGAATAGTTTTCTCAGTTCACTTTGCCTGGGTGGATGTGTAAGGGTTTTCTCTTAGTACGTTCCTCTGCAAGGGATAGTATATGATATCATATGTTGTCAGACGTTTTCTTTTAAACATTTTGACAAAGAAATTGTTTCCTAATAAATACGTTGTTCAATTTATAGGATGACACGTCCTCTATTTACAGTCCTGACCCAATGATCAGGGAGCCACTAGTTGGCTGAGCTAACGCTCACCTTTTGTATCTATCTAAATTGCAGTTTTGACAATTTGGAGGCTGAATCTTTTTTTTTGAAGTCATCTTCTTCCATTCAGATACAGTGTTTGGGAGAAGTACAATAACAGAACTGTTGCCATAAATAAAAACTTTTATTTATGCTGGCAAATCCCCCATCTGTTATCAGTCATAGGATGAGGGGCCTTAGCATTTAAAGCCTGAAGCACTCTAAATTCCCTTTCTTAAGAACTGTGATAACATGTGGCATGGTTTCTTTTAGCTTTTTTTCCTTTGGAGCCAAGTTAAAAACCTATTTTCTCCTGTCCCTCCTGCAGTTTGGTGTTGTATTGATCTCCACTGTAACTTGGAAGTCAGTTTCGGTTTAGTGGGCTGCTTTGACTTTGTTGTTGTTGACTTGGCCTAATAATTTTTTAAGTAGATATAGTTAAACACTAATAATCATTCATAAAAGGTCAAGTATGACTTCAGCAGCTGTTTTTATTGAAGCTGGCCATTATTGTGTATTTTGGCTAATGTCCAAAAGATGAACTTGTAGGATAAAGGGAGTGTGTGTTTAATGAAAGATCCTCTTGAGAGATAAACATTTCCAAAATAAAAGGACTGGTCTTGGGAATTAGGATCAAGGCTGTCATGGTATGAAAATTTCATATATGTAAAAGTAAAGGACACTTCTGCCCCAGCTGTTCTGTTCTCCAAAAGATGATTTGGATGGCTAAAATGAGAACTATTCTAGAGCATATATAGGGGTGTCTGTGTATATGGGGAATGGGAGGGTGCTCTGATGGCTAAAGGGACAAAGGTATTGGTCAGACTTTTAAGCTAATTGGCCAATTACCATTGCAAAAAATTAAGTAATCATTAATAGTTTTAGATGATGGCAGTATAACTGGGCAGGTCAAATACACTCGCTAGAGCAACACTCCCAGTTCGTATTTCTGCGTTTGTTGCAGTTGGGAGATGTGACGATATTAAATCCCTAGATGTCATGGCATTTTGCTGTATCAGCCAAGAGAGACTAATCCTAATTTGCCTAGGGTTAATTGGGAGGGGCAGACTTTAATTTCGTGGAGGCTGATAATCTGTAGTCCTGAAAAAACAACTTTGCAGTCTTTACTTGAGGAAAACTCTGGTTTTGGCTGGTGCTTGCCTGGGTGTGCTCAGCATACCTTGTCTGATTACTGAAGCCAGTCTTAATAGTTAGAATAAGAAACTGGGATTGAGTCATTGGTTGTTTTATCATATGTAAAATGCAATTATTTTGTTTTTCCTGCGTTTAGAGGTCTTACAAAGAACGTCCCATTTAGAGGTCATACAGAGAATTGTTTTTCTTTCTGGAATTTCATTGTGATGGTTCATTTTTCAAATTGCTTTGTTACGTGTTTGGGCATGACTTAATTTTTTATCTTGTGTTTCAGGAAGTAGGAAACCTGAAAAACCTGCTTTGTCTGGATGTTTCTGAAAATAAATTGGAATGCCTTCCTGAAGAAATTAGTGGTCTGAGTTCTTTAACAGACTTGCTTGTTTCTCAGAATTTACTTCAGGTCTTACCTGATGGCATTGGTAAGTACAAGGTGAATGCTATCACACAGAACTGTTTAATCCATTGTAAACTGAAAGTTGTTTTCAAGTCTTTTGAAGTCTTTTTGTGCAAGAGATGAGCTTGTCTCAGCTTTTTTTTTGGTTTGTTTTTTTTTGTGCTTAGTATGAAATGCATAGCTCTATTAATTTTGCATTTTAGTTATCTGCATAATGACTACCTTGTAATCCTTTTTTGGTCTTCACTTGGTACCTACGCAAACAAAATAAAAGTTAGTATATCCTCTCTTTTCCTACTGTGTCCACATCACCGTCATAACTCTTTAACATTGTAAAGTTTTAGCTTGTAACATGCTGTAGGTCACTTGGTAAGACTGACTGACAGTATTACTACAAAAATTACATCCTCTTTAGTGAGGATGTGTAATTATCTTCAGCTGGACGATGCGAGTAATCCTATACTGAACCAGGTGGGAGGCTGCTCCAGCTTCAGGCCATTATTCCTCACTCTTCAGGATCCAAACTACAGCCTTTCTGTATTTGACCCCTTAAAGCAGATTTAATAACCAAGGAATGTTTTCTGAAGCATTACCAGTGCCTTTCTGAAGGTAAATGTTTTCACCTCTGCAGTAGTTGTGACAAGCAGTCAGTGAGGCATTGTTTCTCTGCTACTCATCGGCTGTTTTTCTGGAGAGTTTCATGTTGCAATAGTGTGCCTTCTCCTTGCCAGGATTTTTTTTTTTCTTTCCCCAAAAAAATAAAGATGTAGGGGAAAGAGGACTTGTGAATGTGTTTTAACTGGGAATGTGTAAAAGAATGGACAGACCTTCCCTGTCCCTCTGTATGCCATATGAGCCTAAGAAAAGAGAAATGTTTTTCTAAAAGTTAAACTTGGGCTAGTGGGGTGACTACTGTGGGTCCTGCAGTTGGCTAAGGTATGTTTGGTAGAGAGCAGTAGCAGCCCTCTCTGGTGAACTGAGCTGGCCTGTACAGTTGTTGCACATCAGAAATGCAGCTGTACCTTCTGAAAGGCTACAGCCCTTGCAGCCTGCCAGAGGGGAGCTCATCTATAACACCAGCTGGTAAACAAGAGGATCTTGCTGCTTCTTGAGAATCCTGTTAAATGAAGATCTTTTGCTGGGAAAGGTGATTGCGAAGGACCAGGCCGTTTCAGGCCAGGCCTAGTTTACATGCGCATTTTGTAATATTTTCTGGATGTAATTTTGTTACAGAGGCAAAAAAATATTGCTCCTTTTGTGAATAGAGTAGTACTTGTGTTTGGAAAATTGGGTAGGGCTACAGTACTCATTTCTTTTGTGTAATATTCAAAATTACTCTGCAAAATGGAGAAAATCTGATACTGTGGTTGAAGTGAACCTCACTGGTCTCTGTGGAAGCTACTAGGAGGAGCTCAGCTGACAACTGAATCATTGATTGGACTGGTGGATCTGTAGAGCCCTCGAAGCAGAGCTCTCAGCCATACCAATGGGTCAAGTCAGCTCTGGTCGTGTCTCACCAAGTCTCTAAAGCCCCTAACGGAGGCAGCTCCAGCATCCCTGGGCAGCCTGTGTCAGTGATGCACCACCTCTCAGTGAGGAAGCTTCTCCAGATGTTCAGCTGGGATCTTCCATGCTTCAGTTTGTGGCCATTGCTATTCCACCGCCTGCCCCTGCAGAGAAGAGTTTGGCTCTGTCATCTCTGGAACTGCCCTTCAAGTAGTTGTGGGCTGTTCCTAGATACCTCCTTGACTGCCTCTTGGTGGGAGTCAGCCTCAGCTCACAAGTGCCCTGGTCATCTTGATAGTTTTGTACTGGACTACCATCAGCATCTCATTTGAACTGGGGAGTCAGGGGGCGAAGACAGGACAGGACATGAAACTAGGCACGATTTTACAGGTGTGGCCTCACTGGTGCTCAGTAGATGAGATACAGTAACTTCCATTGAACTGCTGACCATAATTCTCTTAACGTAGTCCAACCACTGTTTATTTCTGGTGAGAGCTCACTGCTAGTTCATGGTCAGTCTGGTGCCCACCATAGTCCCCAGGTCCTTTTCAGCAG